GTGGTCCAAGTGGGATACCTTGTATTGAACTGAGCGGAGAATGTCTAAAATGCATTTTTAATTATAGTTGTGTATATGGTGCTGTTTATGATGCACAGTGTTCTGTTATGGAACATGGTGATTGCATAGTATGTGAAATTTGTTTTTAATTGAAGAAGTTTAGAATTATATAACATATGGAGATATAATAGGTTTATATATTAAATTATAAATGCTTTATTATTTGACAGAGAAAGAAAACTTTCCAAAAGAAATATATGTGTCGATATTGTTATCAAACTGATCACTGGGAACATCAGTGTCATCAGAAAAATTCCTGTAGCTCAGTAGCATCTCCACAGCAATATTATAGGTGTGTGCTAATCATAAGTTCTATTATATTGATTACAATAATATTAACAGATAATATTCTTATTGTAGAACAAATTGTACAGTAAATGATGATGTATTGTGCCTGGGCAGACGAAAGTTTATGAAAAACTTGCCTTGCAATTGGACAGTTGGATATCGATGGTCTACAGCTCTGATATTCAGCATTACTCTTGGAGGATTTGGTGCTGACAGGTGATTTTGCAAAAAAGTACTATCTAAAACATAGATAATCAATTAATTACAATTTATTAATATAATATTTATTAAATGTTTTATTATAGGTTTTATTTAGGACACTTGCAAGAAGGTATTGGCAAGCTTTTTAGTTTTGGTGGACTGGGTGTATGGACCTTAATCGACGTAATACTAATTTCTATGAGATATTTGGGTCCTGCTGATGGTTCTTTGTACATTTAAATTGTTAATCAATAAGAAAAGTTTAATTTTAATTTGTTATAATTTGTTGTAATTTGTGTGTAAGATAGTTTTTTATAAAGTACAGAAACGTTATATATTTGTTTATATATTTGTTGATTTAAAATGAACTATAACTGATAGAAGTTAAATTGATATGTATGATATTTATAAATGTGAATATAATCCATTTTTATAGTTTTGATATCTCTCTTAGTCTGACTCCCTTCGATCTATTTAGCATGAGTAATCCTATCAGTAACTACGCCCGATATTTACAGTTTTATTCTTAAGTTTGAAAATATATGACCATTTCATTAGCCGAACGGAATCTTAAGTACTTTGTTGTTTTATTTTTATTTTCTTTTAATGCAGAGTTTCCAACAGTTTTTTAAATAGAAAATATAATACGTATATAAAATATGCATTATATATAATTACATATTACATAATTATAATTTATATATCTATAGTAAATTACAATTAAATTGCAATTGCATAAATACATTACAAAATATGTAATTATGTATAACAAAAATAATTATATTAAATATATTCATATATATATATATATATATATATATATATATATATATATATATACCGGGTGTTTCAGACCACCCGTACACCCCATTTTAAAGCAAAGGAAGTGGTTATTTTGAAAAATGTTTCAGACAAAAGTTGTTGAAGATAAAGTAATGCATTACATGGGTAAATTTGATTGACCTTGGGTGGCGTCGTGAAGGTCATGTCAAGGTCGACTTGAATTTTTTAAATGGGAACCCCTATTTTTCATTGCATATTCTTGTAGCTTATCTCGAGAGCTTTCCAAAACACTATAATTAAGTACCTTTTTATTAAGTACTTTTTGAGTTATAAGGCTTGAAATAATTTCTTAATTTTACATAAACCATAAAATATCTAGTAAACCATTCATTTTTCGATTATCTTACCTTCATACTTTTATGTACAAAATAATGAGAGGAATCAATTGGTGTAAAGAAAACACATAGTTGTTTCTAAGAAAAAATATGTAATTTGCAATTAACAATTCCATATTTTTTCTTAAAAACAACTGTATGTTTTCTTTACACCAATTGATTCCTCTCATTATTTTGTACATAAAAGTATGAAGGTAAGATAATCGAAAAATGAATGGTTTACTAGATATTTTATGGTTTATATAAAATTAAGAAATTATTTCAAGCCTTATAACTCAAAAAGTACTTAATAAAAAGGTACTTAATTATAGTGTTTTGGAAAGCTCTCGAGATAAGCTACAAGAATATGCAATGAAAAATAGGGGTTCCCATTTAAAAAATTCCAGTCGACCTTGACATGACATTCACGACGCCACCCAAGGTCAATCAAATTTACCCATGTAATGCATTACTTTATCTTCAACAACTTTTGTCTGAAACATTTTTCAAAATAACCACTTCCTTTGCTTTAAAATGGGGTGTACGGGTGGTCTGAAACACCCGGTATATATATATTATTATATTACAAAATTTAATGCAGGATAAAGGAAATGGATCATTTTAAATGGATGTCGATGAATGGATGGAATAGAAATAACAAAGGAACTAGAATGTTAATAATATATTATATTAAATATATTAATAATTAATATCAGAGAGAAGACTGAGAAGGAGAGGTCACAGTGTGATATCAATCGATTTCGCCGAAACTCGGTGTATCGTTTGAGTAGCATATAAAATGAATACCTGTAAACGGATAAAACGCGCTTCTCTACCGTTTACAAAATAAAAACATTAAAAAATTTCAGTTTAGTATAAGCAAAGTAAGACCTCAAATCGAACAGCGCGTAGCAGTAGAGTACTAGAATTTATATTTCCAACGTTGCGGGTTCGAGTCTCGCAAGAATTTTTTTTAATTATAACAACTTTTATAATATAAAAATATATTATATATATTTATGCGTTTTGTATATTTTTTTACATTTATTATTCAAGTGCACATTTATTTATCCATGCATTTTTTTGTTTGCGTTCTCTGATAAAAATTTGTTTATGTAATAAAAGTACGGGATAAAAATGACAAAATCTCCATCGTCCGTTATACAATGGTCTTCTCCTTCTCTTATTTTTCTTTGTCAATAATTAACATTTTGCGTTATTTCATGTTAATAAAGAAATGAAAATACCGGTTAATTGCAGGCCACAAAGTATCTTTGTAAATGCACGTGTATTTAATTATATATTATTAACGCACATAAGCATAAATAATAAATCGAAAACTATAAACATTATAAAAAGCTATTTGTAACAAAGATATATAGATGTATTCGTGTCACAATTGTTATTTTTATTAAACGGTTATTGTTGATATTTGCACAGTTGCGAAGAGTTAACGCGTTACTTATAATGTCGTTACCGTTATTTTTTTTTCGGTAACGATCGTTACTTTTTTCTGTCTGTAACGATAACGGTAACGTCGTTACATTTTTACAGTAATGGTAACGAATTTAACCGTTACTTTTATCGTTACTTTAATTCTGTAATCCTGGATAGTAACCCCTTAGTAATTGAAAAACCTATGCCTATTATAAAACAGTTTATAAATATTTTAGAAAATTATATACATGCATGATGTTTTCTCTGTATTCATAAATCTAAAATTTCTAAATTACAATAAATGAAAAATTGAATATGAAGAACATCAATGATGGATTAACTTATAATTTTCAAATATATAAAAGTAATAATTATATTTTAAAATAAATTAATTTAATTTTTGTATTATAAAAAGTAACGTAAAAGTAACGAATCGTTACTTTCTTGTAACGGTAACGGTAACGGTAATGGTAATGAGTTACTAGCATAACGTAATACCCAAAACTAAGCATAACCACCAAAACGGCTCTTTTGATGCGTTACTTTCCTGAAAAAACCCCTCTGAATATTTGACAAAATTTTGAAAGTAATTCTGTTGACTTTTGATTTCGAAAAAGCGCATTTGTATCTTGCTTTCAATATTTGAAATATATTGCATTTGTATCTTGTTTTCAATATTTGAAGTATGTTGCTGCATACATCTGAAATATACTGCTGATTGTGTTAAGTTGCTTGTCTAAAACAGATTATATCGGTATTAAGTATTAGCGTAAATAGCGAATAATTATTAATAAATATTATATTAAATATTATATTAAATATTATCTTGTGTATGTGTGTGTGTCTATATATATATATATATATATATATATATATATATATATATAATATTAATACATTTAATACATATATCTAATACATATAATAATAATAATAATCTTAAATATAATAGGAATAAATATTAATTATGGATTATGAAAATTACAAATTTGCTAAAATGAGAATAATCATTCTTCTATTGTACTATGTGTTCTATTATATTATATGCATTGTGTTGCACTATATTTTACTTAACAATTCTTTTGTTTGCAAGGAATGCTTATAAATAATACTGTACAAATAACTTTCAACAAATAACTTTCAACAAATAAAAATCAAAATTTAGAATTGGAGATTTTAAAAATAAAATTAGAAATTTACATGAGCTGCAGCTGTCACAAAGATAATATCATTATCATATTATAATATTAAAATTATTATATCTAGCAAGTGCATTAATTCTTCTTAACTTATCCATCTTTATTAAATCTTTATTAAATCTTTATTAAAATTTTTATTTTAGTAAACAAGTGGCTCATAATATTAAAATGCGAATCACATTACGTAATATTTTCTCAATTATATTGAAAAATATTTAAATTTATTTATTTAACTAAAAGCTAAACATCTAGACTGACTAAAATTTAAATATAATATGTTGCAGCTTGTAAATTCTCTTTCTAAAATTTATATAAATCGATTTTCACTAAAATTTCCAAGTAAAAAAATTCTCATTCTCTTTTGTTTTTGCTTGCTCGCACACTCTTCTTCAATTTCTCATTCATTAAAAATTACATATTTCCAAAATAATATATTTTCGAAAATTAGAAATATAACTATGCTTATTTTATAAAAAAAATTAAATGACATTAATTTTTGCTTACTTTGGGATACTGTAACATTAATACATTCTGTATGAAAACAAAAAATTAATGATTAATAAATGAAATATTAGTATAATAATATTCATAAAATTTACCTTTATTTTCATATTTCTTTTCTTTAAAAACGATAACTTCTTACATTCATTTAATTTAACTTGCGTTTCATTAAAAAATTTATTTGTGAAGAAGTTGTTTATCTAAAACAGATTATTTTGATGATATTAATCAGCAATATTTGATGTCGCATTATGGTTATTTATTCTACACACACACACACACGCGCGCGCACACACGCACATGCACACGCACACGCACACGCACACGCACACGCACACGCACACGCACACGCACACGCACACGCACACGCACACGCACACGCACACGCACACGCACACGCACACGCACATATGCATAAGCACATGCAATTTTTACCTTTTTGAGTTGATTTGTGGAATACACATGATTAATAATTACAGTTAATGTTGCATACTCGCTGATTTGTCTATAACAGTAAAATAATAAATTTATTGATACATACATAAATTGTTGAATGATAGATATATATTTACAAAGGAAGCTGTATTACCTAGGTCTTATGTTCTCAAGTTCTTCTAATATGAAGTCGAGTACTACAGGATTCCTTGCATGCTTCGCGATAGTAAAAAGAAAATAATAAATATAATCTTTATCGGAAAAATCTTTTAAAAATATAATCGATGGTGCACTATCATTTTTTATTAGATTTAAATAGGGTATGATAAATATTGAATCCTGAGGGCAAGACAGATATTTTAAAAATTTAGTTTTAAATTTTTCTTTTCCCAGACGATATACTTTCCACCAAGGAGAATCCTCCATACTTTCATAGCTAAGAGGATAGTTCAATATTTTTAAACCTTGACAATATGTCCATTCTTTCCACCATGGCAAAAGCCTATGAGATTTAACAAAAAACAAATTAAATATTGCCAGTGTTGATCGATTTTAACTACTTTTTTTAAAAAACAAATTCTCATATAAAAGTTTTGCACATATTAATCTTATATTTTGATTAAATAATTTCACAAATTATTATTTTATAACATAATCTAATAAAGTTAAATTTTCATCGAGTAATGTAACAAACATTGCACATGTATCTAAAAACATTTAAATTAAAATAATCGGAAATATACAAGAAAAATTACGCGTTCTTTTCTGGATTCTCTAGATGTTGATTTAAGTTATGTTGGGCTGTTTCTATGCATATGCGACCATCAAGATTACATGCCCATTTCGCAGCTTCCATTCTCAAACTCTTTGTAAGATCGTGTTCATTAGAATCAAGTTCATTGTATTTAAGTGAATCAAGCAACTTGTTTAGTAAGATTACTACATTCACCTAAATACATAAATATATATATATATATATATATATATATGTATATATATATATATATATATATAAATGTATTTATATATATTTATATTGTTAGTTGATATAAATTTTATATTTATCGATTCTTGCATTATATTTTGCTATGTATATAGAAAGATATCTTGCGCAATTTTATTTTACATATTAAGAAGGTTTATATATTCAGAACATTCTGTCTTTGTAAACACCTCTAAAGTTTTTTTATAAAGATATCTATCTTATATAGCTATACTTACATATATGTATTTATACACAAATTTGAATTTTTCTTGCGTGCACATTCACACATGCTTCATATCATAATATAAACATACAGAAGTGCATGCATGCATATATTGTAGACATGTAGACATAAATGTAGATATTATATCTATTGTATAATATAATTTAATAATTTATTAACTCTTTTGTGTATTAAACACACAGACAAATAATATATATGTTTCCTACTAACTTTCTAACTTAAAATTAATGATATTTAAATCGTCATTATAAATATTATGCTTTGATTAAAAATGATAACAATTTTCAAATTTTTCTCCCTTTTCCTCTCCAATTTCTTGTATTATTAGTACATACTATTCAAATGTTAATTTACAAATATACTTATCTTTCGTCCAAAATATGTATATTTAAAATATCTAATCAAATTTTTTCTAGCTACATATATTTTATTATATGTATCTTTTTGGAAAACACTTAATAATTATTGTTATAAATACACACAATATTAACATGTGCAATATGTTTTTAGTATATTAAAGACATCATTATTGACATTGTTTATAATGTGTGTTATTACCTTGATATCAAAATATATTTTTTCATGAAATAGAAAGATATTGGACAGATATTCTAAAGCTTTGAACATAGGATACCATGCCACGTAGTCTGTTTCTTGTGATAGATATTTTGTAATATTCCAGAATACAGTGGAATTAAGTTGGTTTGTTATCATTAAGTGGAAAGCGTCATCGATAATTTGAGCACGATTCAAAACATGTATTTCATTATAATTTTTAGAATTTAGATAATTTGTAATTCTTCGCCAGTTCTCGATATCGTAATTGACTCGATAATATCCTGCCAAATATAAATAAATTGTATATATATATATATATATATATATATATATATATATATATATATATAATTCTTTCAAAGGGTTTATCAGTACAAGTATCTGTTTATACTTTTGTACTTATACTTTTGTACTTATACTTTTGTTCATTAACAGAAATCAAAAATGTATCATAAAGTGAACATAAATGGAAATGCAAATTGTATATTATATTAGGTATAAAATTATTTTGCATGAAAATTAAATATTTCTAATAATTGTACGTATGTATGCATGTATATATAATGTATGTATGTATATATAATGTATAATAAATGTAATGTATGTAATACATAATATAATGAATAACACTTTTAATAATGTAAATCTTTCTTTCCAATGTGTGATAAACACTATAAAATGTAATAAATTTATTGCAAACTTACCAGTTTCTTTTGAATTATATACCAGAAACTCAGGCGGTCCTATATTATATATCATAGAGTTATTCAACTCTGTAGAATCCGATATGTAATCATCCGCCGACTTATTTAAATTTGATATCAACCTTTTTATCGGTTTAATAGAATAATAATAAGTTTTATAATCTCGTACTACTTCCATTACAGTATAATATATTCGTTTTATTGGAGACTTGAGCAGCATAGTGGTTAGTTCCTTTATACGAGTTAAATTGTATGTAGACTTGTATGTAGACTTTTGATTGTACGAAAGATTCTTCATAATTTCACCAAAATAGTTAAGAGTTGGCTTGCTAAAGTTATAAAATTTATACAAAATTTATTGATGTGTTAACGAAAGATATTATACATATACATATATACATACATATATACACAGGGTGAGCCATTTTAATGTATATATATATATATATATATATATATATATATATATGTATGTATATATGTATATGTATATATAAATGTATATGTATATATATATATATATATATATATATATATATAAATAATGATATAAGAAATGATATAAGTTTAAAAAGTAAAATAAATTTAATTTAAATAAAAATAGTAATTATAGTAGTATGGTGCATTACTTACTTGTCCTTTACATATATACGGATACTCTGCCAAAATATCTCTTTAGTAATCAGTTTTTGTAATCTACGCAATATGCCGGGTACTATAATTATATAATTTACATCAGAATATGAATAAAATAATAGTTATAGTAAATAATAATTCAATTATCAATAATTATGGTAAAAGTACATAAAACGTTACATCGATTTTATCATCATTTGAATATGTTATAGGAAGTTATCCTGAGTAATTTCGCGCAAAAAAGTAAACGAGAGACGACACTAGTTTAAAAGATATAACAAGTTAAAGTTTGACAATTTTAATACTTTTCTAAACCAAACTGATATGAAACACATTAATTTGCAATTGACAATTATATTTTTTCTTAAAAACAACTATGTTTTTTCTTTAAACCAATTGATTCATCTCATTATTTAATACATAAAATTATTAAGGTAAGATAATTGAATAATAAATATTTTACTAAATATTTTATAGTTTATGTAAAATTAAGATATAACTTGAAAAGTACTCATTGAAAAAATACTTTATTATAGCGTTTTGAAAATCTCTCGAGGTAATCTACAACAGTGCTGGGATTTACTTGCAACTTTCGGCCAGATTTCTTAGCTTACGCCTACTGTTCCCCTCTTACTGCTCACTCCTTAGCGACCGCGCCACCGGACGCTCGTAACTAAGGAGTGATCAGGAACGTGCGCGTTACAAATGTTATGTGACAATTTATCTAAGTTCTCTTTATTGTTTATTAATAATAAAAATAAGTATTCTATTATTAATTACGTATATGTTCTGTAATAATTTAAAATATTTGTGTTTTGAATCGTAATTACAATAAGAGAATTTAGATAGATAGATTGCCACATTACATTTGTGACGCACACGTTCCTGAGCGCTTCTTAGTTACGAGCGGCGCGAGCGGTAAGGGGAAAACAGTAGGCGTAAGCTAAGAAATTCGGCCGAAAGTTGCAAGTAAATCCCAGCACTGATCTACAAGAATATGTAATAAAAAATAGAGATTTTCATATAAAAAGGTATTAATGATCATAAATTAAATAAATTTACTTATAATCAATTTTTATTTATATTATCATACCTTTAATGTAACTGTAATGTTCAAAAGAAATGTTGAATGATGTATTATAAAGTGATGTATTATATTCAGTATCGAAATGAAGGGATTCTTGTTGAAATTGTACCACAAACAAGTCCATCATCCGAGTACTTGGAATAGCCTATAGAAAATAATTTAAATGTATTTACTTAATTAATATTAGATTCAACACACAATAGCATTATGCATTACAGCTCTTACTTTCTATGTGTATGTAAAAAAATCTCTTATACTCGTATACTCTTAAAATATAGAATAAATAATTTATAATTATAAAATATTAATAACAAAAATGATTACTCAACATATAATTTTAAAATTAATATTTTCAGAATTCTTAATATATATTATATAGCAAAATTATCTTATTACACAATTTCTACATGTATACATATGTTATGTGGAATCTGAATAATAATTTTTATTCTTTTATATATAATAATTTAAAGTCGGACAAATGTAACATAGTGACTTTGACACACACACACACACACACACACACACACACACACACACACACACACACACACACACACACACACAGAATAAAGGAACACAGAATAAAGGAAACATAGAAATGTAAAAATATTTTAAATTGTATTATTTATGTATATTGCATTTACTTAAAAATTAACATTTAAAAAAAATTCACTTTTCTTTGTAAATATGGAATCTTTGCCTAATATTCTTATTTATAAAAAATTGTACGCTATAATGGTAAATATTTAACTTTACACAGACCCAAATGACTTGACCTTGATATATATCGTCAAGACCACTGCACTGAATAACATCCAAAAGATTTTAGGCGTCGCTCGTTGTTTATTATAAAGTCCTTCAACATGTTTTTTCCTTTATAACTTTCAATATGAAAAGTCTATTATTGTACATAGTCCAAAATTTCTGTGAACCTTATAAAACTTCTTTTATTTATAAATTTTTCATAAACAACGAGCGACGCCTAAAACCTTTTGGATGTTCTTCAGGGCAGTGACCTTGACAATATATGTCAAGGTCGAGTCATTTCGGGATAACTGTGTAAAAGTAAATATTTACCATATATATATATATATATATATATATATATATACCATATATATATATAAATATATATATATATATATATATATATCCATCACATTGTTTGATAGTGAGCAAGTTTTGCACTAAAGAATGCTAAAATAACCTGATTGGTGACATATAATCCAAGAAATGTGACAATAGCCTCATTTAACAGAGAGGATAACGGCCAAAGAGGATTTTCATAATAAGAACATTCCTGTATTACTTTCTGAGCTATGAAGTGAATAACTTTAATTTTACGTGCATCAGAATCGACATTCTCAATATAAGTAACATCTGCTTCTCTGAAAATTAAAAAAAATGTTTTATAGAAAACTTATTACTGTTGAAAATATTTTGTGCTTGCGAATTTAATATAATTAAATAATTCTATAATTTAACATATTAATTATATATTAATGTTTTATCATGTCTGCGCGTGTGAATGACTCATCACAAATAATGCGATACTTACTTAATATATATGTAATGCTTTCAATATATATATATATATATATACATTTTTTTAAATTTTGATTGATAAGGAATATGAAAACTTGAATATAATTATTTAATTTTATGTTTTTAATTTTTAATTTATAATTTTTAATTTTGTGATTAGAAAATATATATAATTATATATATATATATATATATATATATATATATATATAATATTTTTAAATAATATTTGAAAACGGACAAAAGGTATGTAGATAATTTTAGGTACCATCAATTATTCTTTTTTCGTCTTTCGAAATATATTAATGTTTCTTAATTATATAATTACCTATAAATAACAATGCCCAGATTTATGATGCTCTCTTTTTCCGGAAAATCCGGAATTGCAACATGATTTATTTGCCAAGTTTCATTCAGGCGTTTCCATTTGTCAAACAAGTATAGAGTTATATTTTGAACAATTTGATGTGCAAATGCGCAGTGCATTCCACACCACATATCAACCCTGACTTTACTGTGATTTGAACCAGGCATGAAAAATATATCAGTCTGGTTGGCCAGAAATACAAAATATTTAGGTCTTCCAAACGTATGAAAATGTGTTATCATCACGTTTTTCTTCATTACGATTTTTTGTATCGGCATATTTGATAAAACTTTATAATATTGATGATATTCTATAATAATATTATAGGCGGGCGGGAAGAAAAAAGATTCGAACTTGTTCGAAGAAAAGCGGGACAAACTTGGAATCATGTGTTGGGTCCCAATAGTATCAACATATGTTACCAACCTATTACATTTAGAAATATGAATTAATGATAATAAATTTTCGACAATTACATAGAATACATATTAAAAATTGAATAAAGAGAAGTTATACGGAATGCAATTTATATATAAGAACAATACATATAGAAAATTAAAGCAGAGTTCTTCTTACTATTTTGTTTTTTATCTCGTATAACATTATGTAATCTAATAATGATCTTGAAAGTATTTTGACATTAGTAAAACGTAATGGTCATGAAATGTTTACTTTAGAATATACAGATACAAAATAAATAGTTAATATTTAATAATTAATATTTTAGAATCAATAATATATATATATATATATATATATATAATATTAATATATAATTAAACATTAATAATGATTTCCTAAAGTTTGGTATTAGTAAACAGTGTAAAAATAAAATATTTGCCAAAATATTAAATATCAAATAAGCAAGTTCCATAAAAACATAAACATAAATCTTTCAGAATTATATTATTAAATTTTGAAAACAATTCAAAACACTACCGGAATATTTGAATTCGTCCGATAGTTGAAGATAAAATGTTGTATAAGATATGCATTATTGCTGATTTAATTAAATTTTTATTTGCAGTTTACATTCATATTAATAATAATGGTAATAAGTTGCAAAATTTGTTACTAAGAAACATATAATAGGATATATTATAAATACCTATTAGGTTAAATTATAAATACAAAGGCATATATATGCCTTTGTATTTATTTTTTATAAATAGAATGCTGTACAAGGATTGTGTCATCCTGTAATTACTACATATTTAATATTTCAACAGTTACTTACGATTGTTCATTTTTTGTATAAATTCTTTTTTGATCTGCATCAGTTATAATATATTCTAGTTTTATGATGTAATAATCCGGCAAAAAATTATCTAAGAATATATATTCGGCAATGTTCTTCTCATTATCATACAAACAATCTACCAGTTTATAAGGAATTATTTCTCCGTGAAAATATTTTGGATCTTTAATCACCGTTATATCGATAACATGTTTTATATCTATAGGCAAGTATATGTTACGTTTTGATTGTAATATCTCAATACTCATATTACATTTGCCGATAAAAAAATTATTTGTAGTAATTGATGCAAGAAAGATATCATATTGTTTAGGTATTATATAGGATGATTGCACGAGCATGACTCTTTCATTTAGTTTGCTTCTCTGGCAGTCGATTGAAAAGACCGGTACAATGATTGTTAAACTGCTATATAATAACAGTTTTACAAACATGATGCTACTTTCTTAGATATCTACAAAAATATATTTTTGTTAGAAAGTACAAACTGACAAATTAAACAAAGCATTGTCTCTATCATGATTTAATGGAAAAGAAAAAATTAAAACAGATACATAGAAATAAACTCAATTTTTAACGACTTACTCTGTATATTGAAATATATCACAAAATGTATGCCAATTTATGTCCTCTTATAAGAAATAGCCACAATAAATCAATGTTTTATTCATTATCATCAGTGTAATAAGAAAAATATATATGCACAGTTATGCCTTCTTAATATCTCAAGAAACTTCCAAATACTAACAACAGGGATACGTGATATTGTAATAAATATGTGTGTCATGTAAACACACAACTTCTGAGGTCGTAACAGACGTTTTGATCGAGAAACGATATGTAAGCAAATCCCGGCATCGTTTTTTTCATTCCAAATGCGTGCTACTAGTGGCCGAGCGCTAAGAAAGCAGGCTCGTCTATTTCGCGCCGGTCTAAAGCAAAAGAGACCACCGTCGCGTAGAATACAATAATATCTATAAATATATATATATTTGAATTTTTCTATACTATATAAAAGTAGTATATTCTTTTACCAAAAATTTAAGAATTTTTATAATTTGCAATATACATTTAAATGAAATTTTATAAACTATATTATTACGAGATTGTATTGATAAATTCTCTTTAAACAAGTTAACGAAAAAACGTAACTTATGACTAGAGTATAATATTACAGTATCGTATATAAGACAATATAATGTATAACTATTATTTTTTAGGTTTTTGTTTACTCTTTCAAATTTATTTTGTGGATATACAAATAAAACAACAAGAAATCCCTCAAATCGATTAAATCAATCATCGTGTCTTTTTTATAACGAAACAAATTTTTAAATTTAAATTAAGAAAGATTTTTTCATAATGTGGAATCAAAATATTATAGAGATAGAGTGCTCCAAGAATTTTGCCATATAATTTATTATTAAATTAAAAAACATTAGTAGTAAAAAATCTAATGGCATTTTTCTTATATAATGTGAATACAAGCTTTCGATTGCGACCAGTTTGAATAAAATCGATGTAGTTAATCTCGAGAAATGATAATCACATGCTAGAAATGTGGCATTTTTCGTTTTTCTTCATTATATGATTCAGATTCAGACTCATGAACGTATCTTCGCACGCACACATTCAAAGCGATTTTAATATTTAATATCACTAATTGTAAATATTATACAGAACAATTGCGTTTTGAAGGATCGATTCTCGACGAACGATTCGAGTCTTCCATCGAGAAGTCAAAATTGAGTTCGAATATCGAAAGTCATAAATGTAATGATATGCTTTCCGTTAGCTTTATTTATTTATGAATTCCACATCGCGCGGAACTGAATATTCTTAAAATAAATTATTAAATTATGATTGCGAAAATACCGTGTTTTTTCCGCGTTCTCTTCGCGTCCTTATACGCGTAAATAATAAGATTATCTTTTAACAAAAGAATTTTATTGCTGTCCCTCGTCAAATAATATTCCTAAATATTGCTAATTAAATATAAAGAAATGTCGAATAAGAGAGTAAAAATTCGATGTGATAAGTCAACGATTAAATATTAACTTTACAAAGTTAACGATCACCTTCGATATTAAAGAATCGCGAATTAATTATTATGAATTTAATGATTTGTTTTTTCGAATTATATTTTTTCGAAGTTATATTTGTTTATTTTTTATTATCTTGTTTTGTTTTATTCATCGATGTGACTTTCAAAGAACGATTACTTCGTAAATTCTGTCGTGATGTATCTGATGTAGAAGCGTGTTGGACACTTATTCATATCATAACATTTATCATGTATTTCTCGATATATTCAGTATATTATTAATATCACTCTTCCAGATCATGATTAAAAATCTGAAGGAATTTATACAAACAAGGTACGGGGCAGAAGAGATGAAGTTAAATATATGTATATATAGGATAAACGAAGTAACGAATCCAATTGGTTACACCATGTTGTTTCTCCTATTAGCACACGTTTCATAGATATTGTACATACATACATATTTCCGCATTTTGTACTTGCATTTGTAGGTGATTTTATGCAGAGCGATACGAAAAAATAGTAACAAGAAAATTGTGTTCGATCGCGATGAGACAGATGACTTCGACACACTCCCTCCCTGTCAAATGTATCGAGGATAATTGACGCCAAATATATTCGACGCTATCGCTTTTCTTGACTTCATGTATTTAGTATGGATAAACACGAAAACTGAGATATAAATTGATGTAGCGAGTTTTTTTTGACGAGTGGTATATCCGGCACCTGGTGAGACGAATCCTTGCGCAGGATGCGCGTCGTTCGGATCAATTCGAGGAACGTGATATTCCTCTTTATAGCGCTTCTGTCAACCTCCGCCGAGGAAACACATACAGGTCATGGTGAGCAAACTTGTCAATTATTATATAAAGTGACAACAAACTCTCACATGAATTTTAATAAAATTTAGGCAGTCTGAATATAAAAGTTATTAGAGATTTGTCAAATATATTAATGTAGGAGTGTTAAAATATATATTTTTTTGTACACATACATGTATACTAATAGTTAATGCGAATTGTTACAGATACTCTAAGCGCCTTTACACTAAAAGAAGCTAATGTAAATACTACACCAGCCTACAGTAGCAAAAAGGTGAAACTTTTCAATTTCTATTGATGTATTGCGTGATGATAGTGTTGATGATTTGTATAGCGATATAAATTGAATTATTAAATTGCAGGAGGAACTAACTGGTTTGTGTGGTCCAAGTGGGATACCTTGTATTGAACTGAGCGGAGAATGTCTAAAATGCATTTTTAATTATAGTTGTGTATATGGTGCTGTTTATGATGCACAGTGTTCTGTTATGGAACATGGTGATTGCATAGTATGTGAAATTTGTTTTTAATTGAAGAAGTTTAGAATTATATAACATATGGAGATATAATAGGTTTATATATTAAATTATAAATGCTTTATTATTTGACAGAGAAAGAAAACTTTCCAAAAGAAATATATGTGTCGATATTGTTATCAAACTGATCACTGGGAACATCAGTGTCATCAGAAAAATTCCTGTAGCTCAGTAGCATCTCCACAGCAATATTATAGGTGTGTGCTAATCATAAGTTCTATTATATTGATTACAATAATATTAACAGATAATATTCTTATTGTAGAACAAATTGTACAGTAAATGATGATGTATTGTGCCTGGGCAGACGAAAGTTTATGAAAAACTTGCCTTGCAATTGGACAGTTGGATATCGATGGTCTACAGCTCTGATATTCAGCATTACTCTTGGAGGATTTGGTGCTGACAGGTGATTTTGCAAAAGAGTACTATCTAAAATACAATAGATAGATAATCAATTAATTACAATTTATTAATATAATATTTATTAAATGTTTTATTATAGGTTTTATTTAGGACACTGGCAAGAAGGTATTGGCAAGCTTTTTAGTTTTGATCGACTGGGTGTATGGACCTTAATCGACGTAATACTAATTTCTATGAGATATTTGGGTTTTGCTGATGGTTCTTTGTACATTTAAATTGTTAATCAATAAGAAAAGTTTAATTTTAATTTGTTATAATTTGTTGTAATTTGTGTGTAAGATAGTTTTTCATAAAGTACAGAAACGTTATATTTGTTGATTTAAAATGAACTATAAGTGATAGAAGTTAAATTGATATGTATGATATTTATAAATGTGAATATAATCCATTTTTATAGTGTTGATATCTCTCTTAGTCTGACTCCCTTCGATCTATTTAGCATGAGTAACCCTATCAGTAACTACTCTCGATATTTACTGTCTTATTCTTAAGTTTGAAAATATATGACCATTTCACTAGCCGAACGGAATCTTAAGTACTTTTTTGTTTTATTTTTATTTTCTTTTAATGCAGAGTTTCCAACAGTTTTTTAAAAAGAAAATATAATACGTATATAAAATATGCATTATATATAATTACATATTACATAATTATAATTTATATATCTATAGTAAATTACAATTAACTTGCAATTGCATAAATACATTACAAAATATGTAATTATGTATAACAAAAACAATTATATTAAATATATATATATATAATTATATTACAAAATTTAATGCAGGATAAAGGAAATCGATCATTTTAAATGGATGTCCGGAATAGAAATAAAAAAGGAAATAGAATGTTAATAATATATTATATTAAATATATTAATAATTAATATTAGAGAGAAGACTGACAAGGGGAGGTCCCAGTGTGATATCAATCGATTTCGCCGAAACTCGGTGTATCGTTTGGGTAGCATATAAAATGAATACCTGTAAACGGATAAAACGCGCTTCTCTACCGTTTACAAAATAAAAACATTAAAAAATTTCAGTTTAGTATAAGCAAAGTAAGACCTCAAATCGAACAGCGCGTAGCAGTAGAGTACTAGAATTTATATTTCCAACGTTGCGGGTTCGAGTCTCGCAAGAATTTTTTTTAATTATAACAACTTTTATAATATAAAAATATATTATATATTTATGCGTTTTGTATATTTTTTTACATTTATTATTCAAGTGCACATTTATTTATCCATGCATTTTTTGTTTGCGTTCTCTGATAAAAATTTGTTTATGGAATAAAAGTACGGGATAAAAATGACAAAATCTCTTTCGTCCGTTATACAATGGTCTTCTCCTTCTCTTATTTTTCTTTGTCGATAATTAACATTGTGCGTTATTTCATGTTAATAAAGAAATGAAAATACCGGTTAATTGCAGGCCACAAAGTATCTTTGTAAATGCACGTGTACTTAATTATATATTATTAACGCACATAAGCATAAATAATAAATCGAAAATTATAAACATTATAAAAAGCTATTTGTAACAAAGATATATAGATGTATTCGTGTCACAATTGTTACTTTTATTAAACGGTTATTGTTGATATTTGCACAGTTGCGAAGAGTTAACGCGTTACTTATAATGTCGTTACCGTTACCGTTATTTTTTTTTCGGTAACAATCGTTACTTTTTTCTGTCTGTAACGATAATGGTAACGTCGTTACATTTTTACAGTAATGGTAACAAATTTAACCGTTACTTTTATCGTTA